TTGTTTGCGGTATATCATCTTTTCCGCAAGTTTATTGTTTTCTGTTTGGTATTTAATTAATAGTTAAGATCCATTTTGTAACATCTAGTGATCCGTTTATTTGGCAATCGCCAATGGCAGTCAGCAGGGTTTAAGAACATCCGTTGTTCGTCCTGCTAGTCAAATGCGTTTTGTTAAAATATACTTTTCACTTTTTTGGTCTTTTGGAAAATGTTGTTTGTGCTGTATTTAGACCCTTCTACTAAGAAATTTGTTTTGCATGCAGACGTATAAAAATTGCGTTTTTTTTTCAACGCAATCATAGGTTTGAACGTTGTTTCCAATTTAGTCTTGTTTATATTTTTTCGTTTGGACTTGTATTATATTTGCCTTTGGGTTTATATGATCCGTTCATCCTATTTCGACTCTTCAAAATTCAAGAGTCTATCCTTAATTGAGGTAAATTATATGACCTTCCAAATACCGTTTCGATTCCTATCATCTCTGAAGAGACATTAATTGTAATGGTATTTAATTAATAATTAAGATCCGCTTTGTTACATCTGGTGATCTGTTTATTTGGCAATCGCCATGGCAGTCAGCAGGGTTTAAGAGCATCCGTTGTTCGACCTGCTAGGCAAATGAGTTTTGTTAAAATACACCTTTTTTTTTTTAACTTTTTTGGTCTTTTGTGAAACGTTGTTTGTGCTATATTGTTAGACCCATCTTCCAAGAAATTTGTTTTGCATGCACACTTACATCAAATTTATTCGTTCAGTGTATGTTCACTTGTGTTAATATGTCTTTTGATTGAGTTAAGCCATTTCAATTGATATTTTATAGTAAGTCTTTGTATGTTGTGATGTTACACTATTGTTCCAGGTAAGGGTGAAGATTGGTACCTATTAAAACGTTTAAACCGGCTGCATTTGTTTGCACCTGTCCTAAGTCAAGACTCTGATGTTCAGTGGTTCTCGTTTGTTGATGTGGTTCATAAGAGTTTCTCGTTTTTTTGTATAGATTAGACAGTTGTTTTTTTCTGTTTGAATGGTTTTACCTAGTCATTTTTGGGGCCCTTTATATCTTGCTGTTCGATGTGAGCCAAGGCTCCTTGTTGAAGACCGTACTTTGATCTAAAGTGGTTTACTTTTACAAATTGTGACTTGGATGGAGAGTTATATCATTGGCACTCATACCACATCTTCGTATATCTATATGCACGCATACAAATTGCGGTTTTTATCCAACGCAATCATAGGTTTGAACGTTGTTTTCGGTTTAGTCTTGGCTATAGCCAAATCCATATGTGGGATTAAAGTATGAATTTCACAGAAATAATCTATATGAAAATAAATTCAAATAATATTGTCTTTACATGTAAATCGTATTACTACGAATGTCTTGTAAAAGAATTAGAAATAAATGAGCACTCAGGTAATCCCACATACAAAGACATATCATTTGACAAGGATGAGATTTTAGCAAATCATAAGTCCTTCATGGCTTCAATGAACACTACATTGAACACCAAATCGGAGGACTTACCTTGTTTGTATTGGATACCTAAGCTTCACAAAATTCCTTACAAACAACGGTACATTGCCGGCTCATCTGCATGTTCAACTAAAGAATTGTCCATTAGATTGACTAAAATTCTGTCCGCAGTGAAAGAGAGTCTTCAGAAATACTGTGAAACTGTTTACTCGCGTAGTGGTATTAACCACATGTGGATTCTTAAAAATTCGAAAGAAGTTCTAGATAATTTTAAATCTCGGTCTTTTTTTGAAATTCATTCTATCAAAACTTTTGATTTTTCAACCCTGTATACCACCATTCCCCATGTGAAATTGAAAAATCGCCTTAAAGAAATAATCCGCAATGCCTTTTATCATAAAAATGGTAGCATACGCTATAAATTTATTACTTTGGGATATCATAAGGCATATTTTGTTAATAGTGAACAAAAGAGTAAAACATGCTACGGAGAAGAACAAGTGATCAGTATGCTGGAATTTCTTATCGACAACATATTTGTTGAATTTGGAGGTAGACCTTTTCAACAAATTGTCGGCATTCCTATGGGAACGAACTGTGCGCCTCTTCTTGTCGACCTCTTCTTATTTTCATATGAATCGGAGTTCCTTCAGACACTTGTCAAAAACAAGAAGATCAAAGAAGCCAGACTATTTAATTTCACTTTCATATATATTGATAATGTTCTTTCCATTAACAATCCGAACTTTTCTGATTGGGTTCCATTAGTATATCCCCCAGAACTAGAAATTAAAGAAACAACAGACACGGCTTCCTCCGCCTCATTTTTAGACTTATATCTCGAATTTGACATACACAGTCATCTCAGTACTAGAATCTATGACAAACGAGACGATTTTAATTTTAAGATTATAAATTTCCCCCACCTTAGTAGCAATATACCAACTTCAGCTGCACATGGGATGTATATTTCCCAACTTATTCGATATTCAAGAGCTTGCAGCTCCTACTCAGACTTTTTAAAACGTCACCAGTGTCTGAGCAGAAAGTTGATGAACCACGGGTATGTCAAAGAACGTCTCTTCCTTTTTCTAAAAAAGTTCATCGGAAGGTACCAAGACCTTGTTGATAAATATTCCGTATCAACTTCACAAATAATACATGATGGTCTTGAAGTATAGATTCTGCGTACTTACGTTGTTTATCATCTTAACAACGTGTTATATTGTTCTTTCATTTGTCTTTGTTCTATTATTTATATTACTTTTACTGTTTGGTTTGTTTTCTGTGATATCCATTTGACGTGGCTCGATACTTATACATCCCGTCAATGTGTTTGTATTATCTTTCATTTTTGCTGGTGTGTTTTGTATATGCGACTTTTTGTGTTTCTGTGGTTCTTATACCGTGACTCTGTACTTTTAAAGATCCCGTCATTATGTTATTGTTCTATTATATGTCATTATGTTATTGTTCTATTATAAATTTGAAAATACTTTGAACGACAAACGACAAATTTATTTTACTCGCGTAGTGGTATTAACCATATGTGGATTCTTAAAAATTCTAAAGAACTTCTGGACAATTTTAAATCTCGGTCTATTTCTGAAATTAATTCTAACATAACTTTTGATTTTTTAACCCTGTATACCAACATTCCCCATGTGAAATTATAAAAATTGTTTTGAATAAACATTGAACGACAAAATTTCTTATGTGACGTTTCCCTTTTCTGACGTCAGACACGTGAAGCAATGAATGTGGTTTTTAATTTGATAGATGCTTTTGTTCTTTTTTGTAAATGATTGTTTGTTTTGATATTGTAACACAGTGATGACTGCTGTACCCATATTTTGACTATTTTATTTATTATGTCTGTTTTGTTCACGCATCGTTGTGAATATAACGAAATTTGATGAGACTATCGTACAAGTGAGAGGTTTAGCGCTATAAAACCAGGTTCAATCCACCATTTTCTACATCGGAAATGCCTGTACCAAGTCAGGAATACGACAGTTGTTATCCCTTCGTTTGATGTGTTTAAGCTCTTGATTTTGCCACTTGATTAGGATTTATATCTAGAAATTGACTATGAGGGTCGGTTGAAAACAAAACTTTACGACAAAAGAGATGATTTCAGCTTCCAAATAGTGAAGCATTGGGAAGCTGAAATCATCACTTCGTAAATTTTACGGACGCCATCACGAGTTGGTTGACCGTTATGGAATATCTGTTATATAAATGATATCGGATATGTTCCTTATGTCGTAACTACAATCCCGTTCCCTTTTCACGAATGTGATCTACCGAATTAAACTTTTAACCTTTATTTGTGACATTTTTACCTATTGTGTCTGTTTGTTTTGTTCACGCATCATTAGCAATATTATTAAAATTTGATGCGACTGTCGTACAAGTGAGAGGTTTGGCGCTATAAAACCAGGTTCAATCCACCATTTTCTACATTTGAAAATGCCTGTAACAAGTCAGGAATATGACAGTTGTTGTCCATTCGTTTGATGTGTTTTGTCATTTGATTTTGCCATGTGATTAGGGACTTTCCGATTGAATTTTCCTCGGAGTTCAGTATTTTTGTGATTTTACTTTTTTTCCACATACCATACATTTGTTGTGTATCATTTTTTTCCTATAGAATGCTATATTTGATATGACATATGTTAGAGCTAGTGACGTTCTTAGATATAATATACACTTTTATGTTTTTGTTTTGAATGAATCATGTATCTGCTATGGAAAAATATAACTTTCAAAAAGTCTCCCCTCTTTTTTCTAAAAAAGTATATAAAAAATAAAAAAATAATACAGAAACACCTCAATATTCGGAATAAATCAATGCCCGTTAGAATAGATATTTCATATACCTCATACATTTTATCATATCAACATGCCATGTAAATTTCTAAGTCCTAAGACATCAATGAGAGGCTACTGGTTTCTATCAAATCTACACAGAATACACAGAAAAGTTGTTAAAAAGACAGTCCTCTCGTTATTTAAATGCACACTTTCAACAGGTGTACTTACAAAAATTAAGCACTACATAGGATAGACGTGATTTCATCAACAATGTTAATGTACGTTATTTTCATTCATCTATAGTATAGCACTTTTGTATTTCGACTGAACGGTGTAAAAACCTTGTCTACAGTGTTATGCATCTGTTTCTTTCGATGTCATGTCAAGCATTAAAACGTCGTATTGTGTAAACATAAATATATGGATTCTCCACTTTACATGAATGACATATTATGATTAAGATTATCTATATTGTTGATTTTAATAAGGCTTGCCTAGTACATGCATCATTTGAATAAATGACATTTGAAATAGTGACGAAACTTATTAAACTGACCAGCCTAGAATCAAACTATTCCAACCTTATTACATTTCAGTTAACAAAAAATTGTTGCAATGTATGCATTAACAATACTCTGTACGAGAACGGAAAAGAGGAGACAATCTAAGTACTGTCTCTTTTTGCACAATTATATATTTTTTTTTTTCAGTGATATTAAACCACCCACCGTGCAAGTCCGAAAAGGGTGAGTGTAATATATCATTCAAGGCGTGTTTCAAAAATATTTTTCTAAAAACAAAATCCTTTGAGGTTATCAATAAACTGGAAAATTCAAACTATGTAGGTTTTTTTCATCGTAAATGCAATAATTACTTTAGAAGTTTAAATCATTGTGTAGTATCGTGTAGAATTTAATGTTCATATGTTTCCAAAGTCAAACTATTTAAGAAATAATTTATATCACATGAAAGAGGGACGAAAGATACCAGAGGGACAGTCAAACTCATAGATCGAAAACAAACTGACAAAGCCATGGCCAAAAATAAAAAGACAAACAGACAAATAATAGTACAGATGACACAACATAGAAAACTAAAGACTAAGCAACACGAACCCAACCAAAAACTGGGGGTGATCTCAGGTGCTCCGGAAGGGCAAACAGATCCTGCTCCACATGTGGCACCCGTCGTGTTGCTTATGTTATTACAAATCCGGTAAATAGTCTAATTCGGTAAGTCACATTCGTGAAAAGGGAAGGGTATTGTAGTTTCGACATAAGGAACATATCCGATATCATCTGTAAACAGTTATTCCATAACAGTGAACCAACTCGTGATGGCGTCCGTAAAATTTACGAAGGGATGATTTCAACTTCACCATTTGGAACTCTTGGCTTAATAGCTTCCTTGTGAGCAGCTTGTGTGTTCCTCTATCAAGGAAATCATGATAGGAAACACAAGCCCGGGAATATCGTATCATTTGGGAGATATACACTCCGTATGCAAGCGCTGCATAGTCACCAAATTTTGTATTATTTAGTGAGAGAACATCTATATAGCGGAACGTAGAGTTAAAGGATATTGCTAAAGATGTATTGAAATATTTCAAATATAGTTTTAAATGAATAAACGGCTGAATATCAAGATACATTTCTAGTTAAAAGATGAACACGTGCCTGTTTGTCTATTTGTCAAGTTTTTAGTGAATCTATATAACAGTACACCATGTAGTACTAGTCTGAAAGTAACGTGCAGCTTAACAGAGAATATACATGCATAATGAAGAAATGCTTATTTCTATTTGTTTGTCACTAAAAGTGAAATCATTTTCATTAACATTTGATATAACAACCTTTTTATACTATCTTACTTCTGCGATGGTAAAGGATAATATAATAAAACTAGAAAAACAAATACTGTTATTTTTTAAGCATTATGTGATGATCCTCATGCAGAGTTATCGGATACGGACACTTTTCACATCTACAAATGATCGAAAGCTTTTAGTTACATTTTTGAATCAATGGGTATAACACTGTTATACTACTGTTGCCTTTATTTATAACAAATTTTGTCAATCCTCTTATACACTAGTAACGGTTAACTACTTAAACGGTCATTTTAAAATAAAACAGCTCTTAAATGTTTGCATTTTGCAAAAAAAAAACATGTCAAGACCTTTTTCGGTCGTTCAGTACATAGTCAGTACACTGTCTACCGGTTGCGATTAAGAAAAGGACAGTACTGGTTCAGGTAATCAAGAATTGAACGCTTTTAGTTTGATTCAGTAGCACCAAGACCGTTTTCGTTTAAATCAGTACATCGGGAAGATAGTTGTGAGGTAAATTTCAGTAGCGAAGTGCCAGGTAAATCTATCAATTTTGACATACAATTGTTTGTGCAGATGTTTAGGATTGTCTCCCTTTTTTGGAGCTTGGTCTATAATTTTCACTACACTGGTTGATTTCTCAATGATATTCATTTCTTTCCGTGAAAAATACTTCTGCTTTGTTTCATTGTCCGACATAAACTATATTTGACAGTCAAATGATTATACATCATAATGAAAATGTGTTAGGAGTTGCTTACAAATGTTTACCTAGCTTTAACGACGAAAGTGACTATTGACAAAATGCAAACCTTGAAACTTACAATCCCCCTGCTTCCAGAAAAGTTGAGTTTCTACAATTGTATGACTTTATAGATTTTGTTGAATAAATCGCACGAATCAAATATACTTAGTTATTGTATATATCAAGTTTCATAATAACTGTATGACACTTGGATTTATGAGAAATCAGTTCATTCATTCACTCTGCAATTTATATTTGTTTTATGTTTATTTGAATCCATGATCAGTTAGTATAAAAAACCTGTTGAATGTGACACATTAAATTAACACCATTTAATATTGCAAATAAGTTATAAAAACATCAACTTGATTTATATATTTAACCTATATAAATCTTCGCAAAAATCTACTTTGACATATAGAAGATTAATTTATATTATCAAAATCGTACAAGACATTTGTTTACAACTTGTATATATAAAAATATAATATAAAGAGGAAAGTCGACATTATCCCCATGCACCCACACCATTGGACACATCACCTGGACATGTGTTGTTATTTTTGATATTATAAAGATTAGACTCTAATATAGCAAGCAACACATCACACATTTACATTAACCAAAACATTTTACAATTAGTCTTTATATTAATATCATTTTCGTATTTTTTTAATGGTTTTTGTGCATGGAAGGGGATAACATTTTACGATCTGAAGCAGTATGGAAATCCATTGAATAGTTAGCTAATGGTTTATTTGGTTGATTTTCAATTGAATTAAACAAGGGACAACTCATTTACAAATGGAAGCTGATCAATCTACAAATAATGCACCTTACATCGTAATCAAGGGTCTTTTATAAATTTTCGTGTAAACTTAAAGAATCATCATTCAAAACAATATTTAAAATTCAGCAATTTCTTTTTGCAGCAATTAAAAGACTTCAATTTTTTATGATTCGGAATGTATAAGGAATAGAAATTATATCTGTTAATAAAAAGAGACAACAACCCGACCACTGAGCAGAAAACAGCCCAAGGCCACCAATGGGTCTTCAACACTGCGAGAAAATAACGCACCCGGAGACGGGCTTCGGCTGGCTACTAAAAATAAATGTGTACAACCAGTTGTTGGCATGATACGGGTTATGTTCTTCTCATATATTTTATGATGGTATAATACTAAACCCCTAACGCGAGGTATTGTGCTTGATTTTCATATGATGAAGACATAATCTTTCAATCAGTTTAATTGAGGTCTGGAGCTGGCATGTCAGTAACTGCTAGTAGTCTTTTTTTAATTTATGTATCATTGTCATTTTGCTTAGTTTCTTTTGTTACTTATTCTGACATTGGACTCGGACTTCTTTGTAATTGAGTTTTACAGTGCGTATTGCTGTGTGTTTCTTTATTTTACATTGGCTAAAGGTATAGGGAGAGGGTTGAGATCTCTCAAAACATCTTTATCCCCGCAGCATTTTTGCGCCTGTCCCAAGTCAGGAGCCTCTGGCCTTTGTTAGTCTGGTATGTTTTTTAATTTTAGTTCATTTATATATTATGGAGTTTAGTATGACGTCCATTTTCACTGAATTAGTACACATTTTTATTTAGGGGCCAGCTGAGGCCCACCTCCGGGTGCGGGATTTTCTCGCTGAGTTGAAGACCCATTGGTGGCCTTCGGCTGTTATCTGCTCTTTGGTCGAGTTGTTGTCTCTTTGACATATTCCATATTTCCATTCTCAATTCTAAGTTCACAAACTCCGAAACATCTAAAGGATCTAAAATTGAAAAAAACCTTACAAAACTTACAAAGGCCAGAGGCTCCTTCCTGACTTGGGACAGGCGCAAACATGCGGCGGGATTAAACATGTTTAATAAGATAACAACCCTCTCCCTATACCTCTAGCCATATAAAATAAACAAAGCATTACGAACAGTAAAACTCAGCTCAAAAGCAGTCCGATGTTAGAATAGGTAACAAAAGAAACTAAGCAAAATGACAATGATACATAAATTAACAAAGGAATACTAGCAGTTACTGATATACCAGATCCAGACATCAATTTAACTGATAAAAAGATTATGTCTTCATCATAAGAAAATCAAGCACAATCCCTCCCGTTAGGGGTTAAGTATCATATCATCATAATATATATGAGAAGAACATAACCCGTATCATGCCAACAACTGGTTTAAGAACACATGTGTTTATTCCGATGCAAAGACCCTATGAGTGAATGCATATTGATTCCAAAATATGCCATCTTTAATGACGTGACAACAGTATCGTAACTATATCCTTTCTTAATAAGTCTGTTCAAAGGTTTGATTAGCTTTGAGATGAATGACGACAATTTTGTGCTTTGTATAGAATATTACCATAAAAGATTGGATGTAAAATACCTGAACGGATAAGATGTTTGCATGTTGATTTATATTTACGAATGATGTCCCTGTACTGATGATAAAATTTAGTAAATGTTTTAACTAGTTCGTGATATCGAAAACCCTGCTGTAATAATTTTCAGTAATGCAGAGATTTCTTCGTTAAAAAAAAAAAAAAAACGTTGTTACATACACGAGCGAATAGAACAAGTTAAGATATATAAACACCATACGAATGTGACAAGGGAACGTCACCATCTGAAAATTGATAATTAACAATAGGAAATGAAATCATCTCTTTTATCGTAAATTTTGGTGTTAAGCTTTCCGTTAAAGATATATATATCAAGATCCAGGCAGTGTTCGTTGTTAGTATTTGCTTTATTTAAAGTCAGTTCTTCAGGATAAATCTCCGACAAACTGAAGTAGATATTATGGAGAGCCAGCCAATATATAGAAAACATATATAAAAGTGTTATTAATTTTTTGTATAAGGTGTTGTTATGATGGGTCTTTGCCGATTTAGTCATAAATTGTAACTCATAACAATACAGAAACAGATACACAATAAGTGGTGCACAGTAAATACCAATTGGAATTCCGATAATTCTCCATAGAGAAAAAAAATGTTATCTAATAAAAATTCACGTGCAGTTATCGTATCAAAGCAGGTCCAATTGACATAGTTCTTTTGTTTGCTGTTACTTAGATTTTATTCAGTTAACTAGTGAAATATTTGCCGCTGTCAACCGATATATAATTTTTAACTGTGACTTCAAATACTATT